ATCAAAGTACTGGGATTACAGGTGTGAACCACCATGCTCAACCCAGACAGCTCTATTGTAAAAGAATAAAAAAGAATTTCTTGAGACCAAGAGGTAGGCAAAGATTTCTTAGACAAAACACCAAACCCAGTAGCCATCAGAGAAAAGACTGATAAGCTGAACTTCAAAAAGAAACTAATCCTTCCAGAAATCATGTGAGTGAAACCAGAAGCAGATTTTTCCCCAGCTGAGCCTTCAGATGAGACCACAGACCTGGGTCAACAATTGATTGTAGCCTTCTGAGAGACTGTGAAGCAGAGGACCCAGCTAAGCTATGCCCAGATTCGTGACCCACAGAAACTATGAGATTATGCTCATATCTTAAGCTACTAAATGTTGGCGTCATTTGTTTTGCAACAATAGATCACCAATATAAGAAGTGAGGGAAAAAGGATGGTTTCCACCTAATTTCTGGCTTGAGCAACTAGATAACTAGAGGTGTCAAGATTCTAAGAGAAAAAATAGATTTCAGAGCTTCCAAATTATTAAATATTCCCACATCCAGAACTTTAAATACAGTGGACTCTCAAAGGATTAAAATAAAATTTCAATATGGCAATGATTTGTAATATAATTGAATTTTAGATAATTTATAAAGCATTATAAATAAGCATTTTTTTCTATCAGACATCTAAGTGAGACTTTGGTTAAGCCATGGGTAAGATAATCTGCAGGCCTTTTCTATAATATTAGCAGATGTAGCTCATTCTCTCTTGTTACTACCATGTAAGAAGTGCCTTTCACCCTCTGTGATGATTCGGAGGCCTCCCCAGCCATCTGGAACTACATGTGCATTGCCATTGAGATTTCTCATGATCCTGATATGTGCTATGCTACTTATGGAGCATACAAACAGCATACAGCCTGGATCATCCCATTCTTCTGTTACCAGATCTTTGATTTTGCCCTGAACACCTTGGTTGCAATCCCTGTGCTTGTTTATCCAAACTCCATACAGAAATACATAATTTTCCCCACAGAGATGATGTCATGTCAGTGAATCCTTCCTGTTTGGTCCCTATTAATATTCTTTTTATGAGCATTATCTTGACTCTTTTTTTTTTTTGAGATGGAGTTTCGCTCTTGTTACCCAGGCTGGAGTGCAATGGCGCGATCTCAGCTCACGGCAACCTCCGCCTCTTGGGTTCAGGCAATTCTCCTGCCTCAGCCTCCTGAGTAGCTGGGCTAACAGGCGTGCACCACCATGCCCAGCTAATTTTTTGTATTTTTAGTAGAGATGGGGTTTCACCATGTTGTCCAGGATGGTCTTGATCTCCTGACCTCGTGATCCACCTGCATCTGCCTTCAAATGTGCTGGGATTACAGGCGTGAGCCACCGCGCCCAGCCTCATTATCTTCACTTTTATGGGTTACTTGATGAGCTGTGTTTGGAACTGCTACCAATACATCAATGGCAGGAACTCCTCAGATATCCCGGTTTATGTTACCCACAATGACACTACCCCCATATGATGATGCCACTGTGGATGGTGCTGCCAAGGAGCTGCTGCCACCTTACATGTCTGTGTAAGCGTTCAAGTGGGCAGACTTGAGGGCAGCAGCTTGACTTTTCAGATACCTGAGCAATAGTTTTGTTATTTCACTGTTGCGACAAACTCTCTGAGTTTGTTTGTTGCTGAAATGCTACTTTTAAAAATTTAGATGCTAGGTTAAAACCTATGGTTTCCAACATACGTTTTGCTAGAACACTGTGACAGATGAGCTGTAGAATTCTTTCTGTAGGACTGGGGGTGTAATGAGCTTCACTAACCTTCCCTAGGCACTGAAACTTCCCCCAAATCGATGAACCTAGAGTCAGAGAAGTCTGCTTTTGTACCTGCTGGGCCCCAAAGTTGGGCAGTTAGTCACATTTCACATTTTTTTCTCTCTGTTCCCTCTCTTTTGAAAGTATAAAGTAAAACCAAAAATAGACAACTTTTCTTAAGCCATTCCAGTGTAGAGAACAAAACCTTATGAAAACAGGAATGTCAATTGTGTGATCATTGTTCTAATTAGGTGAATAGAAGTCCTTATATATGTGATACAAGAATTTCCCCCATAACAGCCTTTACGACTTAACTTCAGTGACAATTTGTGTTTGGTAGTAAAGGATTTTCTCCATTGCCTGAATTAAGACCATTAGAAAGCACTAGGCTGTGGGAGCAGTAACCATCTGATGACTGTTCTTGTGCATCCGGTGTCTGGGGACCTGGGCCAATGTGCCTCGTCTGTGTTAGAGAGTGGAACGGATATGTTTGGCGCTGCATGGGATCTGGTGCTCCACTTCTCCTGGATTCACATCCCAACCCAGGGCCCGCTTTTACTAATTTTCTGCCCTAGCCTGGTTGGAGGAGGTCATCCAACTGACTTTATCAATTGGAATTGGGATATATTTGATATACATTTGCCTAAAACCATGGAAAAGGGTTTTCATCCTCCTTTGCCCGTAAGGTACATTCTACTGCTTTGAACTTCCAGGTATGCTTAGTCACTTTTTAAAATGTACAAGTTTTCATAAAAATGAAGATTGCTTTCTTTGTATGTGTTTATTATCTTGACTACCTAAATCGCAAGGAATTTTTATATATTCATATGTTCCGAAGTCAGCAACTTTCCTGTTGGTTCATTATTGAATGTCCTGTAAATGAAGTATTTTGCAATTAAATTGAATTTGCCCACATCCCCCCCCAAAAAAAAAAAAAAAAAAAGAAAAGAAAAGAAAAAAGAAAAACAAAAAATTAGAGGATGGAATGTAGTTTTCCACCAATCAGAGCAATCCAAACAAAAGTTGGGTTTGGACTCAGTGGAAGGAGGTAAATCAGGTTTTTTTTTTTTTTTTTTTGCTTCAATGAGGTTCAAGAAAACTGAGTCCTCTCTTTGCTCCAGTCTAGCGGTCCCAAATTATTCTTTGGTGATTGAGGCTAAAACCCTGGCTACTAATCAAGTGTTACTTTGACTCACTTTGCCTTAGTTTATCTTTGTTGCATCCATCCTCCTAGAGGTACAGGGGAGGGGGCAAGACAGAATTGGGAATGCCTGCTTCTCTGCACCACGTATACACATAGTGGTGGCCATTCCAAAACCTGAAAGGTCTAAACATCAGGCCTCAGTCTGGCCTAGTGTTTCTCAACAGGGTCCCATGTTGACCCAGGATAGCTTTTGTTGTTGGCCTGTCCTGAGCATTGCAGGATGTTTTGCATATGCTAGTAGAACCTATCAATCTTCTCAGAATTCCAGATGTTTCCTATAGGATGACACCCTCCCCTCATCATCTTTGAGAACTAATGGATTCTTTGTGCTTGCTCACCCACATGCTCATCTTTGTGTTTGCATGTCCCCCACACTGAACCTGCACCCTGCCATTTCCTAGGTGTCTGCTTAGCAAGAGCTTCCAATTACTAAATATTCGTATCCCTAGAACTTTAAATACAATAGGTTCTCAAGGAACTAAAATAAAATGCTAATATGAGAATAATTTAGAATATAACTGAATTTTAGATGATTTATAAAGCAACATGGAATCTTGCAGAAACTCAGGGACAGGCCAGGTACAGTGGCTCACGCCTGTAATCCCAGCACTTTGGGAAGCCAAGGTGGGCAGATCACTTGAGGTCAGCAGTTCGAGACCAGCCTGACCAACATGGTGAAACCCCATCTCTACAAAAATTAACTGGGTGTGGTGGTGTGCATCTATAATCCCAGCTACTTGGAAGGCTGAGGCAGGAAAATGGCTTGAAGTGGGGCACCAAAGGTTGCAGTGAGCCGAGATGGCGCCATTGCACTCCAGCCTGGGCGATAGAGCAATCAAATAAAAAAAAAAGAAAGAAAAGAAAAGAAACTCAGGGATGCTGTTGTTATAACTAGTGTTCTTTGTTCTATGGTGTGCTGAAAAGAGAGTTAATGATTAATGGAGTCCTGCCTGTCAATTCACCGTGAGTCATAGATGATGTGTCCTAATGTTTCAGATTTGTGACTGGGGATGCCCTGGAAGAATAGTCTGGAAATTATGACCTTCATCTGGCGATTGTAGCTCTTAAAGCCTCCAAGGAAGCCATTCTTACATTGTGTCATGAAGTTATACTCTATCTCGAATCTGTGCCAGAAAAAATAAAATGTGTGTTAATGTATATATGATAAGCTATGTTTTATTGGACTAATCATTACAGAACTTTTATTAGGCACCTACTGTGAGCCAGGCACTGTGCTAGTGTCTTTGAAGGCATTATTTAATTTAATGCCCACAAAATGCCTCTGTGGTGAGCAGTATTGTTATTCTCATTTTGCATATAAGGAAGTTAAGGCTTAAGAAAGTTGTGCAGCTTCCTCAGGATCACCAAGCCAGTTAAGTGACAGTGTCAGATTTCAAATTCAGACTTTGAAATTCATTCTCTAATTTCTTCAGGCTACATGGATCTGTTCGGTCCAGTCTAGCTGTCCCAAGTTCTACTTTGGTGTTTGAGGCTGAAATCCCAACTACTAATTTTACTTGCTTTGCTTTACTGCTTGTGGCCTTGTTGAGTATATCCTCCTCCAGAAAGAAGGGACGTGGCAAGACAGAAGCAGCAAGATTTTATTCAACAGGTATTTATTAGCACCACCACGTGCAGACCTCTGCACTGTGCAAACAGGACAGACATGTTCCTGCCTGAGAAGATGTGTGGATAAGTGCACGGATGTATGGATAGGTGGATAAAATAAATTAGGGGGAAACATATGGAATAAATGAACAAATAAGTTAATTACGGCATGCGAGAATCGGAGGGACGAGTGGATGGCATGGGTGGGTGGGTGAATGGGGAGGCAAACGAACGAACGAATGAATGAATGAAGTGGTTTTGAGTCTGCGCTACCAGAAGCCCGAGCGCCTGGCGGCGGGCGGGTGGGCGGAGGGGCGGCTACTCCACACAGTACGGTAGGTGCAGGCTGCTCCTCCTGGAGCCCCGCTCGCACCGCCTCCCCCTCCTCTCCTCCTGCTCCTCCTTCTTCGCCGCAGCCACCGCCGCCGGGCGCCCGCCGGCCGCCACGACCCCAGTACCCAGCGGGCGGACGGAGGAGGCGATAGCCGCGCGCTGCTGCACTAGTCCTACCGCCGCCGCTGCCGCCGCGATGCGCAGAGGGGCCGAACCGCCCGGGGGCCGCCGCCGCCGCCGCCGTGCCTCACCATGAAGCTCCGCAGCAAGGCGGCGGCGCTGCTCCTGCTCGCGCTGGCCGCGCTGCTGCTGGCGCTGCTGTCCCTGCGCGCCGGCCGCGCTGAGCCCCCTGCGCCGCTCGCGCGTCCCGCGTCCGCCCCGCAGCGCCACCCTGCGCGGGTCCCCGCACGCTGGCCGGGGCCGGGCGCCCTCCCCAGAGCCGGCCCCGGAGCTCGGAGGCGCCGTCCCCTCCGTCCGCGTCCCCGAGCGGAACGCCGGGGCGCTGTGAGACTGGAGAAGTTGGCGAGGTGAGTCGTGGCAACCCCAGAATCCCATGTGGGGACCCGTGTCTCGCTCCATACACCAGTGCCAAGTCCAAGGGAGGCTTTGGGCCGGAGAGACAGACTTCCAAGTTTCACCCACGGGCTGCCCACTTATGTTTCTTAGCCAGATTGAAATGAAGACCCACCTTGGTGGACTCCTCCTAACAGCTCAGTGCTGATAATCACGTACATTTTGAAGTGTCAAGGAAAGTGGTTTTGTACGTTACATTTTTTAACTGTCAAGGCAAGGCGTGTTTTTGCACTCTTGCAAACATGCACCCTTTGTTTAATTTTTCAAAAGCCATCGCGATGCAAGAATGCTTATCTAATTCTCATGTTTCACTGGAGAATTTTACCGAAACCGTAGATCTGATTGAGTTGGAAAAGTTAGATGTTTACCAAGGACTGGCTGCCTCTCATTCAACCTCGAGTACCCCCGTGCTTAGAACAGAAGAGACACTTGACCTAAGTTTATTAAAAAGAAGTTTTCTCCTTGAAAGGACTGATGAGTGGTACAGAAAAGACGGAGTGGGGGTTTCTTGATCTTCATGCTGTTTCAGGTTCAAGTGTGGTCAAAGGGTCCTACAAGGAAAACATCTTAACCTTCGACTTTCTGTTTGATACTCTCTTTCCCTACACAAAGCTTAACACGCGGAGGCTTTTCATCCGAACGCTTTATCTTTGGCCTTGGGTTGCTGGAACGCCCGCAGGTTAGGGATTTGCGTTCATTTCCTTTGTTGTGGAGGGTTTTCCACCATCCCCTTGTCTTGTAGCGGGTCTGTTTCATCTGCGCTTTTCAAAACTGTTGTTTCTAACTTCCATTGCAACGTCCTCATTTGCCAGGCTCTTTAATTTCAACCTGAAAAAAGTTGAAAAATTCCTTTTTGACCATAATGACTAAATCTCTTTGGCACTATTATTGTAATCAAGAGAAAAGACAGGAAACCTCAAGAAGGAACTGTGTCAGCTTTGTTTGCCTTATGCCTCAGTACAGATGGGTACTGACAAGTTTTAGTGGGGGGGAAGCTCCCAATAATCTATCACTTTAAAGTACTTATAACATTTTACAGCCCTTTGTGGATGTATACAGTCTTTAAGGATATCTCTGTTAGGAAATTAATAGGATTTCCCCCTTCTATACTGGAATTTCTTATAATAGATTAATCAGGGTTTAACTGCAAATTTAATATGATTTCTAAGTTTGATGGGATAACTGGTAAGATAATATAATAACTGTCACCCCTTAACGTACCTAACCTAATGCCAGGGACAGTGCTAACCGCAGTGCATAAAAATAGTCACAGTTAACATTAACACTTACATATACAACTGCATAATCCACACCATAACCTCACCCTACCCCCGATTTTTCTTTTTTTTGAGACAGATTCTCGCTCTGTCGCCCAGGCTGGAGTGCAGTGGCTGGATCTTGGCTCGCTGCAACCTCTGTCTCCCAGGTTCAAGCCTCCCGGGTTCAAGTGATTCTCATGCTTCAGCCTGCCAAGTAGCTGGGATTACAGGCGTGTGCCACCGTGCCTAGCTAATTTTTAGTAAAGAGACAGGGTTTCACCATATTGGCCAGGAACTCCTAAGCCCAAATGATCCACCTGCCTCAGCCTCCCAAAGTGCTAGGATTACAGGTGTAAGCCACTGCGCGTGGCCCACACCGTAACCCTTTGATAGTCGTTCTCAAAGTGTAGACTTCAGAGCAGTGGCACAGGCATCATCTGGGAACTTGTTAGAAATGCAGATTCCTGGGCCCCACCCCAGCCCTACAGAATCAGGAGCTTTGGGGGTTAGCATCAGCAACCTGTGTTTTAACAAGTCCCTCCCATTGCTTCTCATGCATAACAAAGTTTGAGAACCTGCTCTGCAAATAAGCACCAATGTGATCCCCACTTTCAGATGAAGAAAGTATTGCACAAGGGTTAGCAATTTGTCCAAGGTTCACAGGTAACCTGGTAGAGAAGGATAAAGATTCAGGCAGTGTGGGCTCTGGTTGAGCACTTACCTGTTATGCTGATGTCATGCCATAGACTTGCCTGCAATTCGTAATTTTACTGAGATGTTTTTTTAAAGAAACACTATAGATTTTTGGAACTCTGATTCTTCAATGTGTTGAGAACAGTGTCACAGCATCTTTTTGTCTCTATCTGAACAAAGTGGCTCTGACTAGGAGGAGATCATGAACAGAATCCAAATGGATGTTTTAGGGAAGGACTATTTCCAGGAGCAGCCGTACACTTGAAGCCATTTTTCTTTTGAACATATCTCTTAGATTATCATGGAAATCATGGCCAACACCATAGGAATAAAGAACAACATTTTAAAACGGGGGAAGGAATAAAAAACAAAAGCCACAGGAAGTGTCAGACTCAAATGCATAAACAGCTGACATTTTCTGGGACTTATTTATCTTTCTCTTGCTACCTCAACAGAAATGGCAGCAGAAGATTCTGAAGTTGTGAGGGAGCAGGAGGAAAGATCTCTACTAGGGCTCCTTTATTGCTTTCCTAATTCTGCTTGGGTTAAATTTTTGTGGTTTAGGAGGAATTTTATTTAGGGAAGGAAGAGAAAGCCTCGTGTTTTCAGAAAACGAGTGCTTTAATCTCTTGACATGGCTAGAATCCAGAAGAGATGAAGGCTATGTGATCTCATTTCTCTGGCCTGGGGAGGGTCAGACTTGCGGTTGTAGTTAGCTGAGAGCCTGGAGTTGGATGCGACACAGTCCACCACCTGCTTACCATCCACAGCCGGTGCTGCCTCACCTCCCCTAGGGGGCTGCTGTAAGTGAAGTTCTGCCACGTCAATGCAGGAAACATAGCACTCTCCTTCCACATCTTGTTTTCATTTCACAGAAGTTTCCAAGGACTTGCCTCGTTAGTAGGCAGACCCTGCAATTTTATAACTAGTCATTTGTATGCAATCTGTCCTGCGGTGGCCTCCTTCTCTATAAATATAAAGCCAGAAGGTAAGTAAGGTCTGAGCTTTTCTGTCAAGGGTGGGGAGGATTTGAAAACGAACACCATACTGGAAGCAGCAGTCCCAGTGCACAAGAGAAATGAAATTTTCCTTTTATTTTGGTTTATTGGTGATTTATAGCTGGCTGACTTCCAAAAAGAATTTGAGATGACACATAGTAAAAGACACATATACAATAAGTCCATTTAAATGATATAAAAAATGAAAAGTCATAAAGAAGAGGGGTAAATAAATATTGTTTGTCAAAAAATAAACAGTACTTTTGTTAGTAGGATTAAGTGTTAAATTTAACTCTAAGCTTCCCAGCAGCCATTTCGAAAAGGGAACCATGATGAGCTGCCTCATTTTCACTGAATAAGAGGAAAGGTTTATCAAGAGAGATCTTTTTTTTTTTTTTTTATGGAACTACATCATAAGATGAGAATTGTACTTGGGAATAGATTTTAGACATTAGAAGACTCTCTCTAGGTTGCTTCTGAAAACTCCTCCTTGAGCCCACATATGGAAAAGGAGGTTTAACTGCGAATCAGTGCAATATAGAAAAGAATTTGGCATGTGGAATCCAGCAAACTGGATTCTAGTCCAAAGCCATTTCACCTTATTTTCTTCATCTGTGAAATGAGTAAATCCAAAAGTTGTCTGAGATCTCTTCCAGCTCAGGCATTTGATGATCTTGTGATGAGATCATCAAGTTTAGCAACAAAATCCCAGCGATGGCGATTGCATGGCCCTTTGTGCTAACTCTTGCAAAATCACTGTTTCTCATTTATGGGCTCCATCCTAGGACTCTTACTGATTACTCAACCTCAACCCTCTCCAGAACTTAATTCTTTTTCTTCTGTGTTGGCCTGGATATTGCTGTTTCTCTTAAAATATGGCTTCTGAGGGAGACTTAAGCTACCTCTAAGCCCTGTAGTTTTACTCTGCCATTTTATTCCACAGTCATTCAGCAAAGGTGATTTCACATTTACTCTGCCAGGTACTCTTGGTACAATGGTGAATGGAGATGCTGCCCTCCCAGAATTTGGGGATGAGGGAAAGGAGACAATACAGAAATACATTACACTTGGCAGCAGCCCCATCTGTTCCAGTGAAAGAAATCATGTGTCTCATCAACAGACACAATTTCCTGCGGTTCTCTTTAGTGTCTGAGATAAGTTTTCTCAGAGTATTCAAACCTGAATAAAGGTCTTACTAAAAAGGGATGGTGTTCTATAGCAAAAGGCTTCATCTATGGCCATCCTATAATTAGCGGATAGCCCCAGAGCACATTAATGGTGTCCGGATCTTGAGTACCATCTATGATATTATGTAGTGTGAGTCTTGATTCTATCCACAATTCATTTTTGCTGATTGGTCCATGAATCCCCTCGATCACCCTCCACACCTACTCAGTCAGTAAGCCCTCTTGGTTCTGTCTCAAAAGTACATGCCCGGTTCCACCATTTCTACTCCGTGGTTACTTACTGAGCTCCTAACCACCATTATTCCCTGCCCGGACACCTACAGGTGCCTACTCTCTGGTTTGTGTGGTTTCACTCTAGCGCCCTCTACAGTCCATTTTCCTCACAGCTGCTGAAATTATCTACTAAGTAGACCACATGGGGTTCCACCCATTTGCTGGTTAAAGCCCTCCAGCGACTGACTTCCCATCCCACTAAGAATAAATTTCAGTTTCCCAGTGTGGCCTTTGAGCCCTTGCCTGATCTTAACCCCATTTAGTGTTCTGGCCTCCTCTCTTGCCACTCCCCATTCATTTGCTCGGCTTCAGCCACACTGACCTTTAAATACACCAAGCCCATTCCTGCTTCAGCAGTATGGGCTGAAGTATGCATCCATTCTCTGCCCTGGAGTGTCTGCACACATCCTAGCATGGCCAACTCCCACTTTTCTTTCAGGACTGTACTCAAATGTCTTCTGAGAGGGGTCCTTCTAGCTGTTGAAGAACACAGGGTCCTCTCCATCACTCTCTTCTTCCTTACCCTGCCTAGTGCTTTGCTTTT